CCAAACACCAAACGCACCTTCGATCACGTTTTGACACGAGGAGTGATGGAAATTAAACCGTTCATGTGCATTTCGAAAACAACATTGTCGCCCATCTCCCACATTGTGAAATTGTTGAAAATGGTATCTAATGTCAGAACCCTTTTAAGGAGCCATATACTCGGCCTGTGTGCGAACCCTGAGTCCACAAGGTAATATTTTTCATTCGCCGAAATCGAGAAATTGACCTCTGGACTATGCACAACTCGGGCCAAGATTCGACTATTGTGTGTGTTCCTTGTGTGGATCGGCAATACGAACATGAAACAAAGATTGAAATCACATGCGGCCAACACATTTTGTGTTCGAATCCCTTTTCTACCAATAAAATTCTCTCATTGATGTCTTGGCAGTACAACTCTCACATGTGTACCGTCGATTGCACTTATACAATCCTGAAATAGTGGATAGCGCTCTAGATCCAGAGGGTGGTGCGCTGCGCTTTCGTTGTACCTCGGATCTAGTTTTACCATTTTCGCACCGAATGCTAGATATGCCCGAAGGGCCTTTTTGAAATAATGACATATGGTCTACAACGATGCCCAAATAGAGTTTGAACATGTCGATATCCTTTTTCGTGCACAGTATACACAAGAACATGCCGACCTGCTCATATACATCAATGTTTGCGTTGCTCAAAATGTCGTACTCATCGCGCAGAATATGCGTGAAGTGCATAAACATCAGAGAATACATCCTGAACTCCTAAAAACAAGTTTGTGGATAAATGTGCATGTTCTTTAACATGAAAATGTGACCGCATCGCGTTGTTGAAAACAAATACCAACGAGCCGTATTTGGTGCCAAGTAATCGCGCACAATGCGCTCAGCAATTCCACAATACTCCAGCCACTTGATTATGTCCTCCTCCAACTGCTGCAAGACATCTTCATCAGGACTCGTATCCCAATCAGACGTATGCTTGATGTCACCATTGTTGCTACCAATGTATACGTAAGTGCTGAGTGGGCCTCCACGAACATACAATTTTATGGTTGGTGATATAAATGTACAAAGGTAGTGACTCCGAATATCAAACGGGAAGGCAGCCCGTACAAACAATCGTATGAAATGGTAAATATTATTTAGGTTTCTTATGCTAGCTTTGGCATCCTACCAATATCTCTACATTTGAGCAGTTGAATGAGACTCCTAACTCATTTATAGATAAAAAAAACTTGACTACTCATGAACCCTTGGACAATGTTCCCCATCATTTCAAATCCCCACATACTGTATCGTGCTTTTGCAGGGAATATATTCCCTACAAAAGCACCAAATTCTCAATCATGCATGAAATGTTCAATAGTTGACATTCGTACTAGATAAAGGAAGATAACAGATAACAAAAATAGTTCCACTAAAATTCACAATCACAAGTTGTTTGCAACTAAAAGCACATGAAAAATAAAATGTCCATCACACGAGAACGGAAAATACGAATAACCAGCAGAAATACAAACCACAATGTATACATAGGTCCACTTTCAATTATCCCTTACGTGGGAATGATTGATTGTCGCGAAACAGTACTCAGTAAACTTAAACTGCAGGAAAAGTGCCTTGGCAGCACGGTACGAATTTTGATTATCCTTCACACGTAGTAACCACAAAGCAAACATATGGAGAGGTGACCCCTCCTCCACATGTCCTGACGATAATAGTTCGCTCATATAGTTGTCGATAGACATGTCATTTCTCTGATGCGATCTTGCAATCGAGGCAAGATCCGTTCCAATACTTACTGGCACCGTATTTTTTCCTCTTTCCTTTGTCCTTCTCGCGTTTGCATTTCCTTTTATCTCTACTGCGATTCCTGGATATGTTCATGGAAGAGTGCGCTCTATAGTTGATCGGACTGTTACTAGAATTTGTACTTTCTACATTGATGGGCAACTTGTCATCTATCCCCAAATCAAATTCCCGTTGCAACAGCTTTGATGGGGATAATGCGTATTTGGTGGAATCGTCCGCATCGCCAAACAGTTTCCCATACGTGTCATAGAGATCACTGCACTTCATGTTCTTGTACGTTGCGTATTTTCATTTTTCCTGAAGAGACATATTACACGAAAAAGTAGTGTTATGTGACAGTAGAAGAAAAATGCACATAGTTGGTAACAATCCACATCAACGACAGTACTAGAAAAACGTATGTCTTGCAAAAATAACGTAAACAAAATGAAGGTATCACAAAGTTTGCTTTATGACGAAATCGACACATTGGATCCAAGCCATTTTGTATCACAAAGAAAATGAAGCTGAAGGCATCATATAACTCAGCAGACGTGATGAAAGGGCCATCAATTCATCTCATGGACATATGTATGATTTGAAGAATTGAATTTCATCACATTACAAAAGTACATTATGCATCATTTAACTCCATTAGCCCATTTTAGTTTTTATTTGTTCCCACATATGTTAAAGTTTTATGTAAGCAACGACCTAGAAAGGTTAAGCAAATATCTTCAAGACCAAAGGTCATGTTGATCGAGTTGATCATAAACTTTAAAATTATTACATAACAAATAAGTTTATTTATATGTCTGTAGTCGACAAAATTGAACTCCAGATTTCAATCAAAGCTTATGTTAGTAACACTAGAAGAGCATCAAGTGAATTGAACCAAACTACAAATAAGTAAGTGAATGCACCCAAACTACAAATAAGTATTCTATTGCCAACATATATGCCAAACTTAAAATTTGTCATTATTAAAGTTGATGTTTGTTATCGAACTTGTATTGGTATTGCTCCAGTACATTACTTTAACACATTCACATCTTCTGTTTGTAAAAGTCAGTAAGCTGCGAAACCATGAGGGGGAGTCTTATTGTGTACCTTGATTTTTGCTTCCCATAAGTGCTCGGGGCCAATGATTCTACCGATTTTCGACTGGTATTGAATGCCACTGGATTTTAGCAGCTCGAAGAGATGCTTGTGCTCCATTCACAGTTTACCCCAGTAGTTCTTAAGTTGAGATATGGTCCAGTCCTTCCCAGCTCTACTATTGAACAACTCATGGATACGTTGCCAGCCCGTAGTCGAAAAGCATTTACCGCGTCGATGCCCTTCGGCAATGACAATTTCGCATACGTCAATGAAGATTCTATGCTCCATCGGGTCCCATCTTGCAGTCTTACGAACCACAGGCTAAGGCTCATACGGGTACTGTGATGGATAGTCGAAACGCTCTGGCGAGCCCATACTATAGTGCTGTAAACAGAAAATTTGCAACAACGTCTCAAAAAGGAACATATGCGGTTCTTTGTATCTGAAATACTGCCTTTTTTTAACCATGATAATGCACACCAAACAACAAAGTCTATAACCTCAAAACAGAAAACACGAAATTCTACTTAAGAATTCGAACACTAATAAGTCAAGAATCAATTACGCAATCCTAAAACAAATTCATGAGAAACAAGCAAACTACAACAAAACAGTCATTACAAAAATTAAAAATATGAAAATAATTACACAAGCCGGAAACAAATTCACGAGAAATTTCAACAAAATGTTGCAAGAGGGCACACTTCGAAGCATGGGCAAAGGAAATCAGACCACATGAATAGTCGAACGGAGGAAAATCAGGGATGAAACTGCTCACCATGTGATCGGGGTAATAGAACCCATGAGATCCATCGTTCGTCATTTTCGAGGTGTTCACGTCGTTGCTGCGATAGCCAGAGGAAAACTGAGGCGTGGATAAAGATTGAGGTCAACACCAAGCTTAGTGGAGAGGAGGTGGAGGGAGGGGATGTCCGGCATGAATTCTAGAAATATGAACGGAGATGCGGTGCTAAATGGCCGAATGTGGAAACCAATTTATCGTAGGGAGAGCCAATTGGGAAAGTCGCAAGTGACGGAGAGAGTTGGAAGTCTCATAGGGTTAATAATGTGGAGGGCAGTTAAGCAAATGTCAATGACCAGCTAAGGGCAGTTTTGTCCAACAATCTCAACGGCTGTATCAATACTTTTTACACATCTAACACGGTTTTAAATGGTTGGCAGGTTTTTTCTGAATCCATACTATAGAAGAATGAGAGAATGGGGAAAAATGAGCTTCAAACATGCGTTTTAGATTCTACTAAGATGAAGTCAAATCATTTGAACAATTACAAATGAATTGGGAAAGTCAACCGAAAGATTCAACCAGCTAATTTCTTTATTCAAGTCTTGGAATAAGTTATCATCAAGGTTTTAGGATGATATTAAATTTCTAATTAGATTATTGATGCTCATAGAGAATGGGACGCCCAAAGAAATACTCTCTAAATATACGTCCTTGGAAAATTGACATTTTATGTATTTTAAGCGCAAGTTTTTGAATATTTCAATACAGATGGATGAACAAGTTGAAGTGTTTTTCAAGGCCAAAATGTACAATAGTCGTTTTAAAATGAAAAATACAAAATCATCGCTTTTTGTCCATATCCTTTGGGAAAATTGGTTTTCATCGGTCCATAAATAACTTTAAAACTTGCTTTTAGCAAAGTTGTGTTAGATTTGGATTGTGTCATGCAAGTATAAACTGTCTTCGCCATCATTATATCAGCCTCTACACCAATTAAGTAGTCTTCAAGGCCTCATTTCTTAATTGACTTGTGTTATGTCCATGCCATTGTTACATCAACCCCGATCCGAGCTTATGAAGCAAATTGAAACAATAGCTCAAGTGGGTGTATGAACGCAAAATTTCATTAGTCCAACATATCTAGTATTATTTTTTTGTTATAAAGACAAAACTAAGAATTGAGTTATGCTTCATTACTCGATTGATTTTACCAGAATTGTATAGAATTGTGCCCTCGATTAACACATGGCAGCATTTCATTGATAGTTGGGCCAAAAATATTTTCGAATCATACAATCACAATTTGCCAACTCATTCTGACAATCTGATTCTGATAAAATAATCTAGTAAAATGGCATAACTCTTAAGCAATAAGGGTTTTTCACTGCTTAATTTTCCTGGGATTGGGAAATACTTGGCGGCTCTGGCTAATCCTCGAACTCACCGCTGTCCAATCCAGCTTGAAATCCATTAGCCCATCTCGATCCCGTGGGATTTCATCTACGCTACTCGTCATGACGCTAGACGGATCTGCAGATGAGCTGGAGTTTTTCTCGGTCACCATTGCCTCAGATGGACCTGTCTCACACATTTGCTCTACCATCTCAATGCATTTTGACGCCTCTTCCTACACGTATATTTCCACAAATTATTTTGGCAAACTAAATTGTATTGAAATTGGAGTAACTGTAGATTAATAAATTACCATGCAGTTCATGCAAATGTGTTCAGAAGATAAAATAAGTTGTTTGAACTCATCATAGTTCTCGGGATATAGCCTAAAGGAAGCAGTCAGAACAGCTGAAGCTGCCACATGCGATGGCCTGTACTTCGTGAGTTTTATAACTGCAGTTAAAGATTAAAAAATATTTATGTCTTTTCTTGGAAAAGTTCAGAACTTAAAAGGGAAAATTAGAGAAAGTTTTCAAATTATAGAAAGAAAAGTGAACCTCCTTGAGATTTGATAATGGTATGATGAACGGAACGGCGAGGGACGAACGGATGTACAGGTGACCGGCACCGGAGGAAATCGATGAAGTAGTCCACGAAGCAAATTGGAGTTAGAGATCGCATTTTCCATTGCAGTCCTTCGCAGATGGCGCACTCCATTTGAAACGCGTCCTTCGTTTCGTACTTTAGCATAGGCTTCCGCAATTGCTGTGTTCATAAATATCAATACTTCGCGAATAAAAATAAAAAACCAATAAAATCAGACTTGAAGTTAATTTAATCACCAGAATTTTCGCGATTTTGAAATTGTCATTCCTCATCTTCGAAGCTATGCTGAGGCAGCAGGTCAAGAAAAGAAAAATGTTTTTTGATCTAGATCCTGGAATCACATTCTGTATCAGAAAATTCAAGAATCACTCTAAGTTCATCATGAAAGTGAAGATCAAGAAAATGATTCTACTTTTACCGGGATATCACGGGCTGAAACGAAACGATCAACGTAGGTCATCGCCAGGTAAGGTATGAATGCATCAAACTTCTCACATACGGAGTTCTTCAAGAATTAATCAGAAGAATTCATCATTAATATATACATTTAAGAATATTTTCAAGATACAATAGTTAGTTAGTGTTACTAACGAGCTCCATGAATGTAATGGCGACTCCGCGAAATGCACGGTACAGTGTTGTTCGAGCATATATTGGGTTCGGCATGAATTCCTTTTCGGCACTGAAGAGTTTGCTGAAAGAATCATTGTCATTTCTTGAAATTAGATTGTAGTAGATATCATAGGGTAAGAAAATTTCTTCCATATTTTCTTGTGAAACTATCCTTATTGGTTCTTCTGAATTTGATTCTTTGTTATGCGGACTATTTTCTAGAAAGACTTTGTAGTATCGATTGCGATTGATTCTGTGTAAATTTGTATACTCAGTCCGTTTCTGGGCAGTTAGTTTGGTAATTGAGTTTTAACGGTTAAATTTTAAATAACTCCACATTATTCTCTGTTGCTTCCTCTTACGTGACTCCAATTTCTTAAAGCAAGTTTCCCAACCATGTGGCATGCCAGACAGAAGATGTGGCGGCAATATGTTCAGCTTTACAATTTTTTTTTTTTTTTTAAATAATGGAGAGATCTCTAAACTTGTCATAAGCCTCCCGTTTATGTATTCGCTATAATGCTTTTACAGCATACCTTACGACTTTGAATCTACACTGTACACGTTTTTTCACCGTATCAGCTGTACATTTTTTTTTTATTTTTTATTTGAACTTATAATAAGTGGCATGTTTTATTGAAAACGAATAAACGTATTACAAACTTCGAACTTTGGAGGAGCTCTACCTCAACTCTAGCTGACGGCGCAAAAAGAGAAAATTTATCCTGATTTTGCAAAATCTTGAAAATCTATTCTTTATATGATCTGGTCATACTTTCCCTAATCTTACATCGAATATAATATATTTTTAAGCTTCTTGTTCCTTCTAGACTCGCCACTTCTAGGGATTGAATAAATGTAATACATTAATTTTAAAAAAAAAAGTCAAACAAAAAAAATAAAATAAAATATAGTATATCGGGAAAAAGAGAAGGAAGAAAAAGGGAAAAGAAGAAGAAAAAGAAGGAAAAAAAAGGAAAATTTTGCCAATGTGTTAGGAATTAAGTGCTCTATCCTATTAGGTTTGAATTTCTCAATTTTGAAAGGTAAGTAAAAAGTTACTTATTGTTAAGTTATGTTTGATTTTATAGTTGTTAGATTGTTAGGTTAAATTTTATTTTATTGAAGGGGTTAAGTGTAGTAAACTATGAAATTGAGTAAAATGAAAGAAAAATTAATTTTAGTAATTAAAGAGACTTTAGAAATCGCCTATTTAATTATTGAAATTACTTAAATTAATTAATTGTTAATTTAAAAATTATATTATATTTCAGGCGGCGATAGGGATGTCAATTGAGCCGAGCCGGCTCGGCTCGTGGGCTGCTCAGGCTTCTCAAATGACGAGCCCGAGTTTGAGCCGAGCAGGGGGTCCCGCTCGGCTCGTCGAGCTCGCCAAAAATGTGGAAAAAAATAAAATTTGAAACATTTGCAAAATAAATAAATAAAAAAATTCACGAGCTCGCGAGCCGCTCGTGGGCCGAGCCGAGCTCGGCTCGTGAAAAATGAGCCACGAGTCCGAGCCCGAGTTCTCGGCTCAGCCCATTCTTATCTCTAGGCGGCGATACGGATATCAAAACAGCGTACCAATCGAATTGACTTTGGCGTACATAGTTTTGTGAGTGGAAAAATATAAATATTTTAAAAATATTTATAAATTAAGTATATTGTTAAAATATGTGCAATTATGTGTTCGAATTATATGGTTATTATGGAAATCTCTTTTATTATGATTCATGTGGAATATCAAAGATTATTTATGATATATTTGTGACTTGCTATGTAAGACATGTGATATTGAGCTTTGTTTGGTATGTGAGACATGCAATATTGAGATCGGCCAGAAAAGTACCCATGATTATATACTTCTTTTAGTTCACAGAGGGATCTTGGTCGTGTTCTATCCTACACGAAGGGTCTTGACTGACATTGATCTTGATCGTGTACATATAGTTCACAGAGGGGCCTTGACCGTGTTCTAGAATTATTCTGAGAGGTCTTTGAGATCGGCTTTCGTTCACGGAGGGGGCCAAAAACCTGTGGCGAAAGTTTTTAGCCCGAGAGACGAATTACATATTTCAGTCAGAGAGTACATTTTTTGTGGATTTTTCAGCACATTTGATGTGATGAGATTATAGCATGGTTATCAGCTGATATTATATCATGATTTTAAGATGATATTTTTATGACCTTATGTAAATATTTCACTTTTTGACAATAATTAAATGATGGTAGCTTGTGAATTATCAAATTATATGAAGTTGATTTTCAATAAAAATGTATAAATGGAAAATGTACATTTATTTTGTACTTCTCCACTCATTGAGTTATCAACTCATATATTTTTTCACGTTCTTCCTTATCAGGCAGCAGTTGAAAATCTGAGCATCTTTTGGAGTTGAGCCTTGATTTTGAAGTCAGAGCCACACAACAGAGTTTGTTAGTATGACTCATTTTATAGAATATGTAGTCAGTGTCTTGGGACGCATGTTCACGTCTAGATGTGATTTTGCATCACTTGTAGATAATTATGAGGCTCGATATGTGTTTTGTATCCATATGTATATTTCATTATATGTCTTGTTAAAGGTTGATATTTCGGCTTATCTTTATTGTGTTGTGCTATAGTTTGGGATTTGTATGAAATTGATCACAGGTTGGTTAGTCCTATTTACAGGGGAGAAAATGCCGAAATTCTGTTAGAAAAATGATGTATAAAAAGTAATATATTATATTTGTATTAGCATTGATAGTGGGTCTGACTTTTAGTTGGTATTTATCATCGACGCATGTCACGTCTGGATCTAATGGTGTTACACAAGGCGGGGTGTGTCAATTTGGTATCAGAGCATGCATTAGTGATATGATTCAGGAGTTGAGCCCGACGAAGGCAAGTGCGAGACGAGACCCGTTGATAGTCGATGGCGGACCAATTACGCGATCAAGGATAAAGCAAGTGAAACAAGCGATGGGATTGCTCGTTCAAGAAACCATTGATTGAACCATGTTGGGGACTCAAAATGGAGCAACATTCATGTTCGCGTCGAAGGCCGAATCAATTTGTTATCAGGTGACGAAATCGGAGGCTAAAAATAAACTTCTGCGACCGCACGGCAAAAACACCACGCGGTCGCATGGTGGCATACCGAAACTCAAGTCAGCATTTTTGTTGAACCATGCGACTGCATGGAAATACACCATGCGGTCGGACAAGCCAAAAATTTGGCGAATTTTCCAATTTTGGCAATTTTTCATATTTTGTTAGATTTTGATTCTTTTCCATATTTTGGGGATTATGCTCGAACTTTGCATGATTTTTACCTAGTTTTTAGGCTTAGTATAAATCGGAATTTCCATTCAATTGTTAAAAACTTTTGAAATTATTGATATTGAATTAAAGTAAGGCGTATTGTCTTCTCTTCATCATTCTTTATTGAACAACTTCGAACTTATCAAGTGTTAATTTATAGCGTTCAAACAATCGGATTTAATTCTTGGATTGCGTGATCAAGGAGTCTTTCAAGCATCGTTCTCGTTGGATTTTTTGTTCGACTTTCTTTTGGGTTAATCCTAAACTTTGGATTAATTTGGCTTTCTTGGATTCGTCAATCTCATTGTGGGTTTCGTAGTCAACGTTGCTACGGGGTTCGCATCAGTTGGTATCAGAGCTTTAGCTCCAAATTAATTAAAGGTTATATCTTTTCTTTATTTGTTTGGGTCGTTAATTGTTTTTTCTTAGTTCTTCTTCGTTCTTGTTTTCTTTTCGTCGTTTCGTTGAGTTGTTGGTAGTTTACTCATCTTCTTTCATCAAGGAGTACAAAAAAAAATGAAATTTTTTTTTTGATATTATTATTGTTTGATTTTATTTTTCTACCAACAACAATTCCTACATCGTGTTTGATTTTGGGATATTCAATTGGGTTCGATCCTTTCAATCTTCTTTTGAGTCTATTCACATTTTTCGTGTCAAAATATTCATCTATTCCACTTATTCAAGTCCTTTGAGTCTTATGGTCTTCGAATAATATTCGGTTTGTTTGAATTCTCGGTAAAACAATTGATTTAGTTCACTTGGTTTTTTGAAGTGCTTGGAGGGAGAGTTTGAGTGGTAAAAGGCCGAGTGGTGAGTTTAATAGAGCGAAAAAGCCATAGTGAGTGTTTTCCGAGTGAAATCTTTGTGAGACATAAAAAAAATTGTGTGATATGATGTCGGAAAGAGAAGGTTCCAATTTAAGCCGAAACGGTAATGACAACAATGTATCAGAGGACATGAGAAGGAGGTTTGAAAGGGTACTTGGTGATGTCAGGGAGAAGGCGGATAGGCAAGGGGAATGGATGGTGCAAAGGGGTACTACAATTGCTAATCTTAGCTGGGGACAAGTGGAGATGTCTAATGCTAGGGTCCGAGTAGGCGTGAATCTAGGAGAGGAAGGCGGGATGAGTATCATAGTGATTAGGGTGATTTTGATGAAAATGACTTTAATATGGGCCGAGCGATGCATAGGGGCGATAGGATGGAAAGACGGGATAGGAATAACTTGGGAGATGAAGTAGATGGAAATTTGGAGAGTATTAAAATGACCATTCCGCAATTTAAGGGGAGAAGCGATCCGGAAGCATATTTAGAGTGGGAAAGGAAGGTTGAAATGATTTTTGAGTGCTATAATTATTCGGAGGAGAAAAAGGTAAAATTGGCGGTGCTTGAATTTGTGGATTACGCGATATCTTGGTGGGATCAAGTACTTACATCACGGCGTAGGGGTCGGGAAGGGCCAATTAGCATTTGGGATGAGTTGAAGATGTTGATGAAGAAGAGGTTTGTTTCGAGTCACTATTATAGGGAAATCCATCAGAAATTGTAAGGTTTGTACCAAGGATCGAAAAGCGTAGAGGATTATCACAAGGAGATGGAAATTCTTATGATTCAGGCTAATGTGGAGGAAGATCGGGGAGCTACCATGGCACGGTTCTTGAATGGGTTAAATCGGGATATTGCAAACATTGTAGAGTTGCAACACTATGTGGAAATCGAGGACATGTTACATGTGGCAATGAAGGTCGAGAGGCAATTGAAGAGGAAGGGAACGTCTAGGCAACCGTTAGGTACTTCGATTCCTAATCCAACATGAAAATCGAAGTGAGATGACAACAACAAA